AAACCCGAAGCCTATTTATTATGTCGGCATTGCATGCCTTTTGTTTTGGAGCAGTAGTTCTTAACTATTTTTCTTTCCATGCCTGAACTAGATGCCATGTTGCCATCAGCAGCAGTGACTCGCTGAGGCTGAGACTCTTACAGGCAAGAGAGATGCAGATACAGCCTAGATTTGAACCCAACATGCATACACGCCTTCCCCTTTGATCTCTGGGGAGTAACAGTTCTCCTAAATTCCAATTTGAGAATTGCTTTTTCTATCTAAATCCACCTGAATTCCCAATAAATCCAATTTTACATAAGCTGGATTTCAGTTACTTGGAAAATCACCTGGGTGTTAAACTACCTAATTCTAAGAGGTCACTTGCTATTCTGTGATCTTAATGAACTTTCTCACTTTCTGTGTTACCTTTGCATAACCTGTTAACTTTTTTCTCCTAGTTTTTTTTGTTTGTTTGTTTGTTTTTTGGTTTTTTGTTTGTTTGTTTTTGTGGGACCCTTGCCGGTGGCCAGGGAAAGAACCGGCGCTGCAGAGGTTGTAGGCAGCCTCGCAGCCCAGCGCTCAACCACTGCGCCACCAGGGGAAGCCCTTTTTTCCTCCTAGTTTAATTCCATGGAAAGAAAACTTTGGTATTCAGTAGTTTAGAGTTTTTTGGTTTTTTTTTTAAGATTTATTTATTTATGCATACAAGAACTGCGGTACAGACCAGAGGTACAGGGGGTGAGAGGATTCACCAGAGACACAGTGGGAAACAGAACAGGCAGATTGATGAAAATACACTGCTGAGGGGAGCAGCAGGCGAGTCAGGAGAGGTCTGCTGCGCCATGTGGGTTGCTCCCTGGCCGGGGATCGAACTCATGCTGCAGTGGCTGCGGATAGCTTCATGGGTTGCGTCTTAACCCCTTGCGCCACCAGGGAGACCCCCGGTTTAGATTTTTTAGACACTGAAAAACAAATCTCCACAACCCATGCCCACCTTTCTTCAATGATTGATTGAAACATAGAGAGACAGACAAATCCACATACACACAGTTTTGTCATAGCCCTTGTGAATATTCCTATATCCGGGTATGATAGACAAGTGTAAAATAGCCAGTGGTAATAGAGAAGAGAGTTGTCAGTGGACTTATCCTTGAATATACTTACACGTACCTGCTTAAAAGGTCAGAAGTAAGGAATTACTCATTTTTGATTCTTATCTGGCAAACAAAAAAAAATGCAACTTTCATTGCCTTGAAGGGTACTGAATATTTTATTTTCTTATATTTAAAGAGAAGAAGCCAGCTAGTTTACAGATCTTGACTGGTCACTCTATATAAAGTGTGTCTCTCCCCTTAGCTTCCTCTCTCCTGCTTCCCTAGTACTGTGTGTGTGTGTTTTGCTATTATGATCGGCTCTCACCCAGACATCATTCACTGTCTCTCTTCACTTAGGAATATGTTTTGATCATTGGTGATGTTGCATTTGCCATCAGGTAGTTTTAGAGGTAGTTAGGGAGCAGATATTGGAGAATACCTAAATCCATCAGTCCCCAATTCTAGACTCCTAAAAGTGCCCTTGAAACTCCATGCCACATCTCTCCTCTCTTTGAGTTTTTACTCTAAGATGACATAAACATTGACCATCCTCCATTTATATTCACTTTCCTTCAGGCATCTGTGTTTGCAGTATTGACAAAGTAGGCGAGTTCAGCTGTGTCTAACCTCTGATCTAGAAAAACATCATTGAGTAAATCATTAAAGATAGGGTTGTGAATGTGAAACAACACATCATTCTTAAACTGGGCCACTCAAACTTTTTATGAATATTATCTTATCCTTTTACCACACCCTTAAGAATTAGGCTTTGAACAGAGGCTAGAAAGACAAAATGGTCAAGGTCATGCCAGCCATTTTCACCCAGGACAGAAACCAAAACTGACTTTGGTGGTTAGAAGTTAAGTTTCCCTCTTCTGCAGCCCTTCTTCCTGCTATTTAGCCATGGTGGTGAAGTATTTCTGGGCGGTAAATACTTCATTTAATTTTTACAGATTCCTGTTAAGCAGAAGAAACATGAAATCAAATAGATGATTGCAGAACCTGTGATGAATTACTGTTCTTGTGATGCTCTTACCTATTCAGATGTGAAGACGCACTGTAGTAACAAATCACAGAACTAGCAGGTAGTGTTTCCTCCTTAGGTGAAGTGGAGTGAATGGCCTACAGGACAGAAATGGGCCTTTTTCTAATTTCCCAACTCAATACCTAAGAGTATTCGAAATCAGAGAAAATGCTATATTTAGGCTCTATTAAACGCCTAAAATTGTGGAAAAATAACTAGAAGCAAAAGTAAAGTCACACTATTTAAAACTTAGGCGGAACTGACCTAACACCCATATTTTTAAAACATGAATAAAACAGTAATGGAATTAAAAGTTCTGAAGTTAAGGATATTTTTAAAACTTAAATATTCAAGTGAAATGAAATTAATCTAAACTTAGGTTCTATTGAGAAAATTGCTTGAGGAAATTAAACAAGGTAGAAGCTGGATAATTCAGAGGGACAGTCAAAAGTGATTTTATTGCTATAGTTATAAAGTTAGCTATTATGACAGGGCCATTTAATACCAACCCGGACAAAGGTTAGTATTAATGTGAAAGTTCTCAGATGTTAGTGAAGCTACTAGTGAGCGCATGCTTGTGTATCCAGCTCCCTATCAACATTTCACAGTCGCTATCTTATAAATGTCCCATCAGAATGTGCAGGCCAGACACACATACACCCCATCAACCATCAAGCACCATGTTTTTTGCCATAGTCAGTATTTCAGGCTTGGTTGCAGGACCCTTTGAAAGATTTTACTTTTGTTGAAGGTAATTGAAAAATTGCAACACTATTAAATTATTGAAACATGTTACAGCAGCAGAACCAAGTCTTATAACCATAAAGGAAGTTACATTCTACCTGTGGATTAATTACAAATTTTTTAGATTCTGTGCAAGCATCATTTTATAAAAAAGTACACCTCAGTTTCTTTCAGAACACTGACATTTTATTGGGGTATATGTCTGGATTTTGTGAATCTCCAGGCATATTGTTAATTCCAGACACTAAACCCTATTCCCAGAGCACAGCCACAAGCGTGTGGCAGTGTCCAAAAGAGTTTTACAGGCTTTGGTGGTGGTTTGTGCTTTTTGGTTGGAAAGAACCATTTATTGCTTTAGTTATTTTCTACAATGTGTTGCCATGATCTCTTAATCTTTCTTATAAGACCTTGGTCAACCTTGCCCCCCAGGTGTGGGTATGTGTGTGTTGCTAACATGTACTTAGAGTATATTCCTTATATTAAAAAGCTAGTAATAACCCAATTATTTATAGTCACCTATCAAAAACATCAGGAATATGTCTGGTAACCAAAAACTGAATTAAAAACTGTCACTGAGCCATTGAAATTCTTATGAAGCCCATGTACTTGATTTTGTAAAACTATTGTTTAAATCTTCATTTAGCACCTATTTGGCACCAGTCAGGCACAACAGTAAAGGTGGGACTCGTAAATACAGCTACTATTTGGGAACCAAATAGATTTTAATAAAATACAGATATACACATCTCATAAGTAAAATACACATACCATAAGTACTCTTGCTGTGTGAGTTTTTCCTTCTCTCTTGGCCCCATTGCTAGCATGTACTCTAAAACTCACTCTCCCTGTGTACCTGTTTTAATACTTTTCTTGGTTTATTCAAAAATCAGTTTCAAGTTTGAGGCAGTAAGGGGCCAATGTAGGCTGTCTGAGGTCCTCAAAGGTACCTCATGACTAGGAGGAAAAAGTCGAAGCCTATAAAAAGTCAAAGCCTATAAAACAGATTAGGCAATAGTATCAAACAGTATCTGCTCATCACACATTTATTAAACTATCCTTGGTGTTCTGCTATGTTACGTAAAGAGTCAGACCATAGTCTCCTGAGGAATTGCAATCCAAAGAGGGATTGAGAAACTGTATAAAACTCCAGAAAATTGAAGCTCTCCAACTGCATAGACTTAGTAAAACCAAGACATCCAGAAACACAAAGCGGTTCTTGAAAACCCTTCAAAGTTTTCTAAGCAGGAACTGCCTTTAGCTTGTCTTGAATCTGGTATCCTTTTTTGCAAACCCCTCTGTCCAGGTTAAAGTCTAAGTGTTGTCCTGGATAATGTATGGGATTTGCTGAAAAGATTCCTTTAATCTAGATAGATTTGTGTGAATTATTGTAAAACGTTTATTGAAGGTCAAGTGGTTTGACTAGAAACATTGCTACTGCCTTGCATTTGACAGAGCCTTACAACTTACAACTTAGCCTTACAACTTACACACTTACAGTGTGATTTCATTTCTGTTCCATCACTTAGAGCAATCAGGAATTGCTTGTCATTACATCTTTCACTGTCTGGAATGTAAAATTACTGATTTCTGTCCTCTGTGCCTTCAAAGGATGGGCAAATTCCTGCATCGCTGATGGCAGATTTGTACAGTTCAGACAGTTGGTCATATTGAGAAACCATGTTAAAACTATATGTTTTCTAAGTCCTTCTAAACCAAGATTTGTGATATAGTAAAACTGAATTTTTGTCAATGCTGTGGACTTAGAAACTATTAATTATTTAACAGGAATACACAATTGGAGTTAATATGGCCAAGATATTTTTTGAAAAACAATTATTTTCAGTGATACTTCTTTTCTATAAGGTAGAGATTATTCGTGAATGATAAAAGTATGAAGGATTGTGTCACTGAAAATTGAGAATATATATGTGTGTATATGTAGAGAAAGATATATAGATAAGATATAAAACAGGGCCTGCCTTATATTTTAATTAGGTAAATACGTTCCTCATTTGTTGAATCAAAAGCATAAGGGCAGTTAGAAGGAGTTTTGGCCAGAGTCTCCAATGGGATTAACATCTAGTGAATTTCATCATGTAAAAATTGTTCTTTGGAAAATGGCCATACTAATTCTTTCTCTCTCTTTGTCTCTCTAGTGAGAACGCAACAGAAGCAATCGCAGTAGATTCTAACAATCAGTCGAAGTCCCCACTGGAGAAATTTATGGTCAAACTGTGCACGCATCATCAGAAGCAATTCATTCGTGTTCTGAACGACCTATACACTGAGTCTCAGCCAGACACTGAGGACCGACAGCCTTCTGATTCTGGAGCAATGGATGCATCCACTTGCAATGCTGGCTGTACCCAGCTGAGCACCAAACATAAGGAACAGGATGCTGTGTGTCTTGATATGAAGTCTCCTACTTCTGTTGATTTATTTGTAGACTCATCGGGCTCTCACAGCCCTCTACACTTGGCAGAACAGGCCCTGAAGGAGTCACCCCCCGATACAAACTCTGTAGATGGAAGAGAGAATGCCTTGACTCTTGTCCAGAAAGATTCCTCTGAACTTCCAACCACTAACCCCACTTCTGATAGTTCGATGGATAGTTCCACTTTGGGATACCTCACTGCATCTAATTCTTCTTCATTAAACTGCCACCACATCTCAAAGAGCTTAGAGGATCAAACCACTGGTCAGGAGCAAGACAAAAATGTGAAAACATGTGAGGATGGTAAAGACCATATGCAGAGTTCAGCTTTAGTGGAAAGTCCAATTACAGTAAAGGTGGCAGCTGAGAATAGTGAGGAGAGCAACAGCGGTATTATTTCTCAAAGAAATTCATTTAAAGCTTTATCAGAAGAGGCTTGGGACTCTGGGTTTGTGGGGAATTCATCTAGAACTGCTGACAAAGAGAATGCTTTACAGTGTAGCTCAAAAACACCTTTGCACCAAGATTTTGAGGCAAGTGAACAAGATTCAAGGCCAAAGCAAGAGAACCATCTTCACTCACTAGGAAGAAATAAAGTAGGTTACCAGTTACATCCCAGTGATAAGGGTCAGTTTGATCATTCCAAAGATGGTTGGTTAGCCCCCGGCCCCATGCCAGCTGTACACAAAGCATCTAATGGACATTCAAGAACCAAGATGATACCAACCTCTATAAAGACAGCTCGGAAAAGTAAAAGGGCATCAGGGTTGAGGATAAATGATTATGATAACCAGTGTGATGTTGTTTATATCAGTCAGCCAATAACAGAATGCCATTTTGAGAATCAGAGATCAATACTGTCTTCTCGGAAAACAGCCAGAAAGAGTACTCGAGGATACTTTTTTAATGGTGATTGTTGTGAGTTGCCAACTGTTCGTACACTGGCCAGAAATGTACACTCCCAAGAAAAAGCAAGCTGCTCAATAATGGCATCAGAGGTCAGTCCCAAGCAGACCCATGTAATTCCAGCCCCGAAACCTACAGTAGATGCTCAACATCCCAGCGGAGACAACCCTGAAGAACCTAGTAAAGAAATAACCTCCCTCAAGGAAGGAGACAGAGATGCTTCATCTGAAAAGGAATCTCAAGAACCTGAGGTTTGTACCACGACTAATAAGCAGAATCTGAGCAGCTCCCCTAGGTCAAAGGAAACAACAGCCTCTAGCCTGGTGTCTCTCCCAGCTCCTCCTCCTAATGAGGACGTGCCAGAAGGCAGCCCCGTGGGCTCAGCTCCCATAGCAAGTGGGCTGCCTTCCCCTGCACAAGACCAACTACCTGATGAGCTGCTGGATACAATGGAGATAAGTGTACCCCAAGACTATCCCCTGGTTCTCTCTACTGAGAGTATTTATGAGGGAGCTAGTGAAGATGTTGTTTCTAGGCCTCTTTGTTCTCCTGAAACAGTCTGTAGAGAGGAAGGTCCTCTGTGCCCTGAATATCAAAGTCCACCAGTGGACTTGGAGCCTCCCTTGAGCCTAGAAAAGGCTGAGGACAACCAAAGTATCACTACTGAGGCTAAGACAGAAGACACTCAGGAGCTAGATACCAACCCGCTCTTAAAGGAAAGCAGCACATTGACTGATGAAAACCCCAGTGAAATTGAGGAAAGTGAGGCAGCAGGCTGTACAGAAACAATAGGGAGAGAGGAAAATGATGTAAAACATCCTTTGGAAAAAGATCTGTGTGATCCAAGCATTGACTTACCTGAGGAGAATTTGGACAAGAAGAAAAAAGGTAAAAAATTCCCTGAGGCCTCCGATAGGTGTCTAAGAAGTCAACTTTCAGATTCTTCCTCTGCTGACAGGTGTCTAAGAAGTCAACTTTCAGATTCTTCCTCTGCTGACAGGTGCCTAAGAAGTCAGAGTTCAGATTCTTCCTCTGCTTGTCCTGAGATTAAGGTTTCTAAAAATGCTGGTGCAAAACGTTCTAAAAAAGATGAGTATCCAGGTGGAATGACACCTGAGGACTCTCTGCCTGACAATTCCCATACAAAAGCTCTGGAGAACACTGAAAACCCAAATGTGCATGAAGATCCCGCTGAGAAAGATGCAGAGCAGGAGGGTGAAGGAGGTGGGGTCATTACTAGGCAGACTTTTAAAAACATGCTGGCAAAAGAAGTCAAAGAGGAAGGAGATAATTTCCCCAGTGGTGACTCCTCAGCTGCAGCTGGCCAGCCCTTGCCTGGAGAGAGACTAGAGATCTATGTTCAGTCTAAGGTGGGTGAGAAAAATGCTCATGATCCCTCAGAAAGTATTTCTTGTACTTTCCCAGAACAATCAAAAGAGAAGCCAGGACCTCTTCCCCCACAGGATGTGGAGGAGGCTACAAATGAGGGAAACAGCTCACACACCCAGCATAAAGGTGATGCTAACGAGGTGTCCTCCAGTGTACTTGAATTGTCAAGCAGTGGAAGTGGTGATACTGCTGGACAACCAAAATGGGCACCAAGGCCTACAAGAATGACCTCTTCAACCTACAATCTAAGACATGCTCATTCTCTGGACTCCGTAGATACTACTACAAAAGTGACTTTAGAAAAGGAAGCAGCAGAAGGACACTCAGTACCAAAGGAAAATGATGCTTCAGAGAGCGGAGATCCCTTAGATGAGGGTGATGTGGACACCGTGGTAGATGAGCAGCCCAAGTTTGTGGAGTGGTGTGCTGAGGAGGAGAACCAAGAGCTCATCGCCAACTTCAATGCCCAGTACATGAAGGTTCAGAAGGGCTGGATCCAGTTGGAGAAAGAAAGCCAGCCAACACCAAGAGCAAGGAACAAATCAGATAAACTGAAGGAGATCTGGAAAAGCAAGAAAAGGTCACGGAAATGTAGGGGTTCGTTGGAAGTTCAGAAGTTTTCTCCTGTTCAGATGCTGTTTATGACGAACTTTAAATTATCTAATGTTTGTAAATGGTTCTTAGAGACAACCGAAACCCGGTCTCTGGTAATTGTGAAGAAGCTCAATACTCGGCTTCCAGGAGATATCCCCCCTGTCAAGCATCCTCTTCAGAAGTTCTCTCCTTCCAGCCTGTACCCTAGTTCATTACAGGCTGAACGCTTAAAAAAACATTTGAAGAAATTTCCTGGAGCAACTCCTGCTAGGAACAATTGGAAAACACAGAAGCTGTGGGCCAAATTTCGAGAAAATCCTGACCAAGTGGAGCCAGAGGATGGCAGTGATGTCAGCTTCAGCCCCAATACTGAGGACATTATAGAGGAAGTCAAGGAAGGAAGAAACAGCCATCCTCCCACAAACTCACCTACTCCAGCCAGTACCCGGATCCTTCGAAAGTATTCTAATATTCGAGGAAAGCTCAGAGCCCAGCAGCGATTGATCAAGAATGAGAAAATGGAAAGCCCCTTTGGTCGGACTGTGGAAAATAAACAGAGTTTTAAGAGTGTATGTATCAACCCTCTGATGTCCCCTAAGCTCGCGCTGCAAGTGAATGCAGATGGATTTCCTGTTAAACCCAAGAATACCGATGGAGTGAAGGGGAGGAAAGGGAAGCAGATATCTGAAATCTTGCCGAAAACAGAAGTTCAGAATAAACGCAAAAGAACAGAAGGCAACAGCACTCAGGACAAAAAGGACAAGGCATCAGCCACGAAAGCCAGCAAAGAAAAGCACAGTGATGCATCCACCAAGCCCCCTGCTGCCAAGAAGCTGGCAGCAAGGGACAAAGTCAACCCACTGCCCAAAAAGTCATCCTTGAAAGAAAATAAAGCGAAAATCCAAAAAAAGCCCTCTGGAAAGAGCTGTCTTCCCTGTAGAAAAGAAAAAGAGAATGCCAACAAAAAACCTGCCCAGCCCACCACCTTGGAGACAGTGACAAAACCTATAAAGCAAAAAGGGTCAAGTGAATCCTCTTCAAGGTCACAGAAAGCCACAAATAGGAAGCAGAACAGTGGAAAGACCCGGGCCAGACCCTTGACGAAAACTCCAGAGAACAGCGCGACCCAGAGAAAGCGAAAACTGAAGGCAAAGCTGGACTCTTCCAATAGCAAACGGAGGCGCCTGGATGCAAAATGAATGGAAGGCTGGTAACCAGGAGTAAAACTGTTCTCTAAAAGTAACCTTTATTTTGCATTAACTAAATTTGCTTTTATAAGCTCATCAAGCCTTTCAAATCTGCAGTTAATGGAGAAGGCCGCGATTTAAGACGTCAGAAAATGCAGCTCGGATGGAGAAGGGAACTTGCAGAGTCTTTCTCCGAGGCTGAGTAAGGGAAGTGTTATATATTATATTCTGGTTGTTCCTTGGGTTTTAAACTTGGAACTAAGCAGTTTTAGTTTTTAAAAGTACAGTGCCTTATTTATCCTTTTTGTTTTTAAATTTACAAAAGCTAAAAAGCTGATCTATGTGATTAAAGGCTTGTATTTTATACTTGATGCACAAGCACTTGTACTGTAGCCGAGAAGACCACCATCATGCACGTAAAAGTAGTTTTCAGCAGCCACCCTGCAGTATCTGTACACAAACCCAGATGCTCTTTGCAGACCCCAGCAGTGAACTGCCCTCTCTGTCTTGTTTGTTTAAGTAATAATTGAAAGCTAAACCAAATCATTTTTATGGCACGGAGAGAGGATGCAGGATGCCTATGGAGAGGATGCAGAGGGAATTTATGATTATTGTAAAAGATTCGTATTTCTCTTTGGTATCCCTTTTTAAAAATTGTATTCATTGTATTCACCCCTCACCTTTGATTTTTTTTTTCTTTTTGTCATTTGAGAACCTACATTCTAAAATATGTGCCCCTCGGACAACAGGTTTGTCAGATGGTGTTAGTATTGGTGCATGACCTCTAAAAGTTATTTATAGTCCTCAGATTATTTACATTATTGATTCTTACCATCCTTTTCATTTTTGCCTTTATAATCTCACTAGCTAATTTTCATACTAATTTGGAGGTTGGGGGGGAACCTAGGATTTTCTTTTTTCATCTTGCACCTGTAATTTGACAAGTAGGATGAGAATGACTGTTCTACTTTACTTTTCTTACCCTCTGAGTACTTCCATATTCAAAGAAGCCAAAATATCAATTTCAAGTAATAGAAAAGTTTTATAGTGTGTGTGTACTTATGCTTTTGGGTGCATTCTTATGTGGTTATCAGCCACAAATGTCTCCCAACTCCAGTTCTACAGTAAAATTCCTTCTCTGTGTGATGTGCTAGGTGTTCATGAGCTGGGTAATTAGCACAGGCCAGGTGGTTTGAATGTGGCCTAGGGTCTCTGTGAGCATCCTCAGAACCACATTGGCACTGGACTCAGAAAGGTCTAAACAGCATCAAGTTCAGTGAAGGTCAGAACAGCCTTGCCATTGGAGGAAGCAGCTCCAGCATCTCATAGTTGACATACACAACCCCAACACCAGACTTGATGTTTAACTGACATTTTCTAATGTGAATGTTCATGTTCAGAGTGGGTGTCTGTTCCGATGGGTTCGCACCATACTATTATTTAATACTTGTGGCATCACTCCTGTGCTTATTGTGTCAGGCTCTGCTCCTTGGCTCAAAAATGAGAGCTGCAATAGTTGTAACTGATGTTTGCCTTTCCCCAGAGAAGCCTGAGATGGGTACATTAAAACCTGGGATGGCCTTAACTTGGTACTAATAACATTGTTCTATTATAACACAGTATATTTCTGTTGGGCCACTCTACAAAATGGCTTGTTTGTAAAGCCTATGCCAGCTTCTCTAATATACTCCACCATTGAAGTAGGCTGGTATGGACAGCTGCTCCTGTCCATTTTATTAAAAAAAGTTTCCCTTTAGATTGTTTCATATCTGTTTTAGATAAACCCTGGTGGACTTTTTTTCATGCATTAGTTCATTGAAATAAAACAGACCTTCTACCCATTCTGTTAAAGGCTCATTGTATATAGTGAAAACTTCTGATTGGATAGGACTGGAGAAAAACATTTGGAGAAAATGAGAATTTACAGAGTGAAGCTTACTATCACAGTGAAGTCTTGACTTTCCCCCTAATGTCTCTTCTATCCCTTGAGTTGTTTTTGTTTTTTTTTTTAATATCTTTGACTTTGGCCAATCAAGAGCTACCTATCTTAATGAAACTGCTGAGTGTGTATCTTGGCAACCCTTTCTCAGCATTAAGTTGCACAAAAGCATTAATATGTTTTGAGTCAGTTCATTTAATCTTTAAAAAGTTTGATATCGTTGTCACTGGATATTGTTTTTGTGGTGACTTAAACAATTGATGTTTGCCCGTGTCAGATGTGCTGATTCCTGTACATATGTTCAAGGTGCCCATTAGCTGCAATAGAGTACCTTGTAAGGGTGCTTGGGTTAGTTTAGGGAGAGGTTTGAGTCAGTAAAGTGAGTGGAACATTTCCAGTTCCAGATTTATAGTTCATTCCATTACTTTTCTAAGGCTTTGTTTTACTTTGCATTTATAAAAGCTTACTTCAAGATACTAGCTTTCTCATTCTAGATAGCATTTGAAAAGGGGTATCGATGGATATGTATTTATTTTATACACCTAACAATGCAATGGATCATCTTTAAAATCAGCTTACACTTTATAGTAGTGACTACATTTAAATAGACTGGGATTCTACATAATTAGGATACCTAAAGTTCCAAATTATTTTTATATTTATTGAATCTCATTTTTGCTGATTCAGTTAATTTTGCTAATAGAAGGAAGAAGGTAAAAAAGCAACTTGAGGGCCAACTCTGAAAGGGCCTTTCACCTTTCAGCAGATACTGGCAAACCTGTCTCCTTGACACTTCCAAGCCACGCGTGGCATTGACTCAACTCATCTTGAGTCAAGCGCTTCTTCCTAAAGCTGTATTCACAGTATGTCTTGCCACTAGATGCAAAGGCAGTCCCACATTCTGGATTCCAAATCAGAAAGATATTCTGCTCCTGGGCCTAGCCTAGGCCTATACTCAGTGAAGTGACTGCCCCAGTGTTAGAGCTGAAATTGACCAAAAGACATTGGCATTTGCTGAGCTCTGGAGGAGCTACAAGATGCCTGGGAAGTGATTACTAAGGCTTAGTCATAGCTTCCCAGAGCTGAGATCTCTTTAGAAAACCCATTTTCTTACCTATGAGGCTCCCTGGGCTTGGAAGGATAACATAGAGACTGCTCTCTCAGTTGAGGTTCAGAGCCTCACCCCCACCCTACCACTTCCTCAGCCACGCAGCAACCTTGCAGTGCACTGGAAGGTCGTGAACTGTTGTTCTGCTTATAAGGCTTCCTGTGTAAAAATGTGATTATTGTCTGATAATCTGCAATTGCTGGTCCCTTGAATTCCCTTGGCAGGCCAGTTCTGTTGTAGCTATATTTCATTAAAGACTTCTACACAAGCCATAACTGACAAAGTAATCTTAGACTGTGGGTTTCATGAACCTCACTCTTCACGCAGTGGTGTGGCTAGAATAAGCCCACAGGGTGCCTCTAGTGGATAGAGAGAGCCTCTGGATTCCATACTGCCCAGGTGACTGTCTCATTGTTCAGATAGGTCATGAGCAAGCTGTGTCACTTCGAGACAAATACTTTGAGTTGAAATTTGGCCTGTTTCCTGCGGTGTTTTGCAATCTCTGATGAGGACTGAAGCTGTCACTCTGAGTTATCGGGCCACTTTCACTGATGAGTAGACCTAGAAGCCCAGTAGGAAAGCACAGCATGCTGTTTGGCGCAAGCTGGGAGGGTGCTGTAGTGTCACCAAGTCTAATGTCCTGTTGGCACATTTGGGGCCAGAGCAGAATTTCACAAGGTCTGGGCCCAGGGAGCCATGCCCACTCTGGTTGTAGGTCCGTCCAGGCAGGCTGTCTTTTGGCTTATAGATGATCTTCCAGGGATCAGCAAACTGGGCTGGTCACTCTTGTAAATAAAAGTTTATTGGAACATAGCCATGCCCATTTATTTATGTGTTTTCTGTGGTTGCTTTCCCGCAGTTGAGTAGCTGCAGTAGAGACCATATGGCCTGCAGAGCCATAAAATATGTACTGTCTGGATCCTTAAGAAACAGTTTGCTGATCCTGACCCTTGCTTGAGAAAAAAATACTTTTCAGGAGCAATTTTCCCCTGATTGATCTCCTTTTTTCTACCCCTCTCTGTCCTTTTTTTTCTTCCTTTCATCTTACAGCAATTTTTCCTTTTACCTTTATGTATTTCTTCATATTACAAAAGAGACACTTTATATTGGTGTAGCACATGGAATACCATCTCCTAACAATTAGCCTTCATGTCACATCTCTTTGGAATCACCAGTCACAGTAGCCAAAATGGTGCTCGCTTCGGCAGCACATACACAGTAGCCAAAATGAAGCCACCTTTCACCTACAGAATCAGAACCCATCAACCCTCAGGGTCTCGGAGCTCTAAAATATGTGGCTTGGGCTTCTTATTTCACTCAGTTTTTGTCATAAAACTAATTCCAGCTTCACTTCTTTGTTACTCGAGTAAGCCAAGATTTTTTTCTTTCCAAATTAGTTGAGACTACGTTAGTTAAATGTTCAATTTTCTGGGACTTAAATTTAGTATGGAAAAAGTCTTCGCAAAGAGGAAATACAGCCCAGTCACACACGCAAAGCATTCTTTATTATGTCATATTTTTTACCAAATTATAGGAAAATAAAACTCCTTTTTTGGGGGGTGGGGGGAGATGATTGTTGTGTTAGAATAAGCAGAGTTAGGGAAGTGTTTCGAGGTCACCTTTAATATTCTTCATCCCTTGATGTATTAAAAACTGCTATATTCTACAGTGATTGATTGATTGGAAGCCCTGAAAATCTAACTCTCCTTTAAAGATAGAAAATCATGCTCAGGCTCTGATGCTGCTTCCAGCTCATGGCATTGCCATGCTGTACTGGGAACCCAGGCAACCCCCATGGGCACTTTGGAGAGGGTTTCTTTGCTCCTGCTTTTGCCCTTGGAATTGAGCAAAACCTGGCTCATTCCTTCCACTGCCTCCTCTCTGTCTGATCGTCCTTCCACACAGCCCTGGTGGTTTATGCTCAGTGTTCAGGAGACATCATTTGCTCTGTCCTGCAGAGGGACCGCTGTGCTCACCTGGTGAGCACAGTGACGTACCAACTTTCTCCTCTGCTTGGGATCATTCCATTTAACACTAAGTGCGCAGCCAACTGGCCACGGGAAAGTATAGACTGCCCATTAAAAGGAAAAGAGAACCAGGTGCTCGTGGATTTATAATATGCCTGAGGTTGGATGAATGCATTTTACCTTTTTTTTTTTTTTGATAAGGGTTACCAAAAAAGAGGCTGTGTATCTAAAATACAGCATATATCCTATCTGACCCTGTAGAGAAAAGATACTATCTTGACACTTGCAGTATGTCATTCAAGATCAAATCAGAGAGCATTTAGGGCACAAATTTCTTTTTTCATTTAGTCCAAGATGTCAACATTTCTTACCTTTTAGATTTTAGGGTATCTTGCCTGTTCTCAATACAGCCGCTGGTACCCATTCTTCTTGAATAATGCTTGATGGAACATTTGTGGAATTGTGGACATACAGTCTTACCTACTAGGATGTATAGTTAAAACCAAAAGTGCTAAGTCTTTACTTTTAACTAAAGTATTATAGTCTTCATGTTTATGAATCAGGGTGAACTTGACTCTTGGAGAGACAGTCCTCTTCAGCAGTGCCCAACACAGACCCACTAATGAATTTAGAACAGAGAGTGCCTCTCCCAGCAAGCACCAGGCTTGTGTGCGTGTTTCCCCGGGAGCCCTCCTTTCCATGTACCGTGTATTTGAAAGTATGTCACTCTCCAAGTTTGGGTGATTATTTGTAAACATAAATGACTGGCCTTTGTCTGTTTGAACCTTGAGGCCAGACCACACATTCTCAGCTCTTAGAAATACCAGCATGGTTATGCCCACCTCCTCCCCGCCCCATCAGCATACCAGCAGCTTTGGATTGAAGAAGCTCAGAGCAATCTGGCCTGGACAGCACAGCCAGACCTTGATCAGGCCTGACTCACTTCATTTTTAGGCACCACCCTTGGGGTCTCATCTCCTCCCTCTTCTGTTTCTGCCTCCACCCTCCCTTCTGGGAGGCGGCATCTTTGGGAGAGTCTCCCACCTCCCAAGTGCTTCGCTGAACACGTATTTGTCATATTAGAAGCATTTTTCGTTTCATAACTATTTTCATAATTAGCCATTGGGTTCAAATGCTACTTGGTTTACCAATTTTGTCAACCCCAATTGTCTTCTATAATCTACACCTCGTAGTATAGCTAAAGCTACAGCAGCTGGGAACTGGTTTGTGGAAAAGATGCTATACAAACAAGATTTGCATAATTTTGTATATTTATACCACAGGTAGGGATTAGTTTTAGAGCCACTATAGCTTAAGGTTATCAGTTTCACTAGTAGTTTCTGCGTCCTTAATAGTTCTAGGAGACTAATGTGTTAGTGACTATGGTTTCAAACACACATATATATAATACATATTTATACACACCACTGTGGAATTTCTCTGTAAATAGTGATATTTTGCTGTTAAAATGCTTCTATAGAAAGTATTTATTTTAACAAAAAATTTAACTGTCAAAAGGGCTTTCCAAAAAAAGTGTTTTTTCTAGCCACCCATCTACCCCAGCTACCATGCTTAGCCTTTGAACCCCAAACACAGTGATGGCAGAAGGGTGGGGCCTTTAAATCCTGCTGTACTGGGGCAGATGCAACCTGGATTGGAAACCTGTGTGCATCTCTCCGCTGATACCCCATCCCAGAACAAAGTGGATCTCCCACGATCAGTTGTAACTGTGTCAGGCGTTTCGGGGCTTGCTTCAAACTACCCGCTTGTGCATGCACAGTTGATACATTCAACAGCCTGTGCAGGGAAATGAGCCTTAGTTGTAGTCCCAAGGAAATCTAAACCCATATCCAGGATATGGAGAAACCATTGGTTGCCTAAAGAAAGCATTAAGATGTGTTTCAGTCTTTCTTATGTTTGTGAAAGACGTCTATTCACACTCATTAAACACAGGAAATAAGCATGTTCCTTCCGCACCTTGACAGTACGTCTTGGCTCACCACCTCCTCCTCTTCTCCACCTTCCCACCGTCTCCTCTGCCGCCGCCTCATCTCAGCAAACCTCTGTGCAGGTGTGAGCCAGCCCCACCTGTAACTGATGGTTCCAGAGCAGACCGTCTGTTCTAAGATGTGTACAGCTTTACTTCTCAGGAGTCCTAGTCTGCAATTCAAAGCACCCCTCGATGTAATGCAACCAATACTTCATGATCTTGTTGCCCTTCCCTGTGCCTGGGCACCCCGTCTGAGTCATGATTCTCATCCCGCCAGCTGGCTAGACTGAGAACTTTTGGCTCCGGGACTTCGGAGAGCTTGGGACTAGGCACAAGGATTTTTGTCATTCATTTGAACCATAGTTTGCATATTTACTTCTGGCCTCCCTTTGTCTTTTCTATGTAAATGAGGAGGACACTTGAACAGTAATGCTGGGGAATGTTGTTTCTAAGATGATATTTGTAAGCAAATCTGATTTTAAGATGAAATGTGAATGGGTAACTAGGTGCCAGGGAATTTAGCACTGAACTAGACAGTCAAAATTATTTTTAACCTTTGCAGGAAGAAATAAATTTTGCTCTCATCTAAATGTTCACAAGAAATAACGTTGTAAATACTTTTTAAAGAATATTTATTATGTGTGCTGCATACAGATTCATGTTCTGCGTGACGTTGGTTTGCATTGTAGTAACGTAGAAGATATATTTTGAGTAGTGGACTTCCTTTCATAACACAGTTCACACATGGAGAAAGAACAAAAACCAGCAGGTTGAGAGCTGTTTGGGGCATTTGATATGTAATGTTACATCAAATCCAAGCTTTAATTGCCCCCTCTTCTCATCTGGTTATGTTATATATTTTATATATATAAATATATGTATACACACGTATGTATGATAAACTGGTCAGTGGTCAGTCCCCAGATCTGCAGAGCAGATTCCAGGTGTTCTTTCTGATGTGTTGCCTATAAGCAATAAGATCCTAGGTAATAACATTTATTCCGGGCCCCAGGTTGGCCCTTGTCTCAGAGGATAGGGTGGGGGTAGAACAGCTCTTGCTAAGACCTCTTGCCTTTGCTGGAGAGGTTGCTGTACTTGAATTTTTGCTTCTGTTTGTCTGCACGCTCCTTCACACCATACAGCTCCAGCGATGGAGGAGATATCTGCCAGCACCAGACACATCAAAAATTGGGCATAGAAACTGAAAATATAGCAATTTGCATTGACTGTGTGGGGTTTCCAGAATCTAGTTAAGTCAAAGCTCATTTGTAGAGTAAATATAAGAACATTTTACATAAGGAATTTAAATGGCCATTTAAATGTCTTCGACTGTATCCGATCTACCTTTAAACTAGGCCATTACTATAATCTTTCTCTGTGTCTGGGTTTGAAATGTCAGCAGCCCCGTTTTCTGGGGTAGCCATTTAGGTCAAGTATAAGGAGGGCAGTCACTCCTCTATCCCAGCGTGTCCAGTTCAACAGGTCTCCAAGTTGTTTAGCAGCCTCTCCTTGTGACCGTCCTAAACTTTATGAAAAATACCCCACATCCAGGTAACCATTAATAGAATAATGTAGGTTTTTTAGGCTTTTGGAATATGTCTTTTGTATTTATGATGGTGTTTGGAAATTTTTCACTAGTGGTTTTTTTTAGATTGAAGTGGGTGCATTAGGATGTAACTTTCCATTGCTGAGCCTGAAAGCAAGCAAGAGGAAAGAAACTGATCTATATTGTATCATTGGGCAGATGACTACTTGCGGTAGTGGGAGGGCAGGGAGGGGGCATTGTAGATTATGTGGGGGTTAAAGAATTTTGGCCTGAAGCTCCCCAAGTCTTATTACCTTGTAATAAATAATCCCTTACTAGCCTCACTTAATCTCAATAGAAGCCTGCTGTTTACCCTCAGGGAACAAGTAGTTTTCAAAATTGAGCTCCTCCAAGGTCATTGGCCTGTGCCTGTATGTGGGCGCTGGTCATCTTTGTGAACTCATGGCATTATTTTCCCATATGCATTAAGTAATTCACCCCCAACCTGTATGAAAAGCACAGCCCAGGGTCCTACTTCAGGCTAGAATTTATGCCTTTGAGGGGTCCGGGGGGTCATAGGAGACCCATGCAATTTAACTGAAGCTCAGGTGCCATGTTGGGTTTATATTCTTTTTAGACCATGACCCTTCAGAATGAGTTTAGGGCAGGGGCTGCTGATCCAATTGTGGATTCAGGGAGCTCTAAGATGAATCTCTACCGTTCCTTTCAATCTGGTTCCTCCCAGTGTTGTCATTGCCGAGGTCAATCTTGTAGTTGTTCAGATGTGCTTCTTTTTGCTGTCTTGTGAGTCATAGCCAGTGATCCAGATGCCCAAGGAGTCTCCGGGGGGCACTGCCCCTTCCCAGTTCCAACTGTGTGCTCCTGACCTGCGTGAAGGTGGTCTTTCCAAAAGCAGTGAAATGAGAATTTCTGTAAACGCTAATCCGGATGATTCAGTGTGTATCTCTTGGGCCTGGATTTTCACCATGTTAGTGGGTGTAGGGAAAATACTGTGTCTTTAATGGATGAAAATTCAATGTATGCTGTGAATTTGTTGGTTTGAAACATTGAAAATTTTTCATTAGACAATGTTTACATACCTCACCTGAAGAACCTTTGAGAGTGTATATATGAAATTTAAAAATATATTAAGTTGCTTTAAAACAATATGTATAGCTATAAAAGTTGGAGTTATTTTAACTTTGAATATGTACCGAGTCTCTTAAATATTGAAATCTTGTGGACTTTTCGTGCTTCTGTGTTTTACTTTCCTATTAGATCATGTAGGAAACCGTGTTCTTGTTATTGGTGAAGGGGCCCTCACTAAAATCCAAGCTTGGGGGAGTTTCCTTTGTTGTGTCAGGTTTTCTTGTTGGGTTTTGAGGGACGGGGTATGGATCTAGAGGATGTGTGGGAGGGATTTCTCTAACATTGACATCTATTCCATGAGCTTTTCTAGGCGCTTATTTTAATGCAGCGTATTAAACTTATTTGATATTACAATGTGTGTGTGTAGTTACTGGGAGACTCCAGGATGAGTGGAAGCCCAGCGTTGAACTCGTAGCCCATGGCAAAGTTGGTAGGTTGCCAAAAGCCAACCACACTGCTGGAACTTGAGCATTGTTTGCTAGACCTGTGGGCATTTTGTGTGTTACGCCCAAATTCAGAGAAAAGAAAACACAATGGATAATCCTTGGGAATTCCCATAGAGTTGAAACGAGGCCAGTGTTTCATCCAGAGGGAGAGGAGCAAGTGAGTTAAGCGCCTGGCCCCAGGGATACCACTGGTAAATAGGGGGTGACATGCATAACCATCCGGCAAGGGTGATCCCACTCTCGGTAGCTCACGCTGGGTATGGCAGAAAGTTGGCAGGAAATTTCATTTGTTACTATAATGACCTGTTTCGTTAACTTCAAATCTACTGGAGATGGTCTGTTTAAGGATCCAGTGGGCCCCTGGCCTGTGGAATCAACCATGATCTCATTACCAAGTTCATCTGACTGTGGCTGTTGACTACACCCAGCGAATAGAACCTCACAACTGGTAGGTGGACCGCCCCTTCTTGATTTCAATTTAGAGAACTGCTTGATTCTGTATTAGGAGTTTTCATGGTTAAGACAGACTCCTCCAAATTCATCCTGTGATAGAATACCCAGAATGTGACCTGAGAGTTCAGACAAGCTGAGGGTGAGGGGACTAATCGAAAATTAACTCAGGTCTCAGGGTAAAGGGATGCTAGAGATGCAGTGTCCCTGATCTCAGGAAACTTGACAATGCTAGCGGGGAACCTGGGCATTCCTGCTGCTGCCCCCACCTCCGAGCAAGCCCTGCTGTCCACATTCCCTTGCTAGGGCTTTCCTTTCAACTAACATTTGCCGCCACTTAGTTTTAAGTCAGATGTTGCAAACTGGTGGCCCAGAGATGTGTTTTGTTTAGCCCAGTATTTAAAGAAAAAGATACTTAAACCTATGAGTGTTTAAATAAACACTGATTTCTAGCTTCTCTTTAAAAACAAAAAGATCCGATGAAATTAACGCGTGGTAAAAATTGGACAGCACAGACCGTTGAGAATAGTGCCCTTCAAATGACCACAGCCCCTGTCAGTTACCTGCCACTTGTTCTTTTTTCTTTACAGTAGCAAAGCAGGTCTCTGGGCCTGCTGCTTCATCAGAAGTGGCAACGTAGATGATGGGCCAGAAGGTTATGTGCCCACTTGACTTACTAGTGGTGACCTACCAGCCACTCCAGGTACTTGAGTTTTACAACCCTACTTTAACCCGTATTCTCTCCTGTACCCTGTTCATTATATTTCCAGATCTCTACTTGCTTTAAAGGCACTGTAGTTACCATTACTGTTCACTTTCAAGGTGATGGGTACTATTATGGTGAGGCCTGTGCCACCTTTACCATGATGCTGTTTTCTCGTGGGAAACTTGTCCATGGTTCTGGCACCAGAGGGTCCTCCCCCATCTTAGGGACCTAACCCAGTCTTGACTGCCAGGCTTGGCCTCACCTAGACACTCAGGGCATGCCTCCTGAGTGCAATTTTGTCATCTGAAATTGTGGTAGAACTACAAAAGAGGTATGTTTGCCTCCTTTCTCCACTGGTCCCTAAAAATACTGCCCTGGGAACAGAAGGCTGACATTACAGGATAGACTAAGACACCACGCTGCTTTCTAATCTGTTGCCCTGACACCCTGCAGCCTCAGGCAGATTAAATATGGGTATGACTCTGTACACAGACTTACTAAACATGGGTGTGATAGCAGGCTCTCAAGGAGAGTGGGATGAGCAGCCCCCAGAGCTGTGCACGCTGCGCTGTGCTGGGCCAGGCCCTGCCTTCCTGCTGACATCCCAAGGAGCTGTGTCTATCTCCCGGGCACCCCTTCCTCATGAACCGACCTCCTCTGCCCCTTCAGGAAAAGACCAGAGGTCCAAGGCAGACGTCCTATGTGGACTGCTGCTTGGAGCCGTCCCTGGCTTGTGGCTGGTGTGCCAGCCCCACATCCAGGGAAGGTGCGTGTCAGCAGCCCCAGGCTCATCCTCTGTGCGGAGAAAAAGAGAACGAGGCAGAACCTGCGTGAATCAATGTCATGTTCACATGGAAGACAACAGACAATATCCAACATGTTCTAAAATGACACTTCCAGGGAAGGGCAGGTGCGGCTCCCTCACGGGCCTGTTCTACACCAGAGTGATCCAAACAAGACTACAGAAACCCCCAAACAAAATGTCACGACCACATAGCATCTGAAAATCATAACAAGACACTGAATGTTGACTTTAACATATAAAAATACTATAACAAAATGAAATACAAATATATATTAGAATCTGTTAAGTATTCTGTATAAAGAGATACTTTCATGGTTAGGCTAACAGCAGGCAAAGAGGAGACAAAGTCCAGCCTTTTCCATTCCTGACACTGGCCACTTCACCCACGGTGCTACCAGAGCAATAGCAACCTCGGTGCTTGCCCTGCTTATTTTTATGTCTCTTCAGTGCACGTTTAATGGAACAGCCAGTGGCGACAACAAAGTGAACCGAAGGTCTTAACCAAAGGAGATGACGTCTCAGAGATGACTGCGCAGTAGTCTTTTGGGAGTCAGCGGGCCCAATGGTGAACAGGCAAAACGCGTGGTGAGCCAGTTCCCTAGCGGCTTGCAGATGGGTGGCTGATTTGGAGGAAAAGTTGATCCTGGGCCACACAGCTCTCTGTCCCTTACTGCCCTCACCTTGTGGTGGATCTCAGTCTTCTGGAGAGAGGATGAATGTGGAGCTGGACTGGAAGGTGGGTGTTGCTTGAGCAGGAGCAGCTCAAGGATGCTCCCTGCAAACCTTCCATCCTCTGCCCTCCCAACCGCCTGGCACTGGGGTGGAGGACTCCTGACAGCCATCACTTGTCTGTCAGTCACTTTATACAGAGTGAAGAAGCCCCTGCCAGTCAGTGCCCCCAGCCTGGAGAGCTGCTTGTGCAGGGTGGTAGGGAATGATGGTGGTGACCAGGCTAAGGTACCAATCTCAGGGTTGGTGGATTCCAGCCACCCCTCTTCCATGGAAGGGGCAAGCTGACTGCACTGGAGCTTTTCTGCCCTATCCAGCCTTGTGCTAGCTGCCCTCCAGGGTCCCACAGTGGCCCAGGAACTCTGTTAAGAGCTATATAGCCCTAGGCCAAGCCAGGCTGCTGTCCTCATGGGGAGGAGCACTGTGGCCTTACTCAGAGCTACTCTGAAATAAATCCTTGTCTCTGGTGAGAGGCAGATTCTGCCATGAGGAAACCTCCCCAGTTGGGCTGGGCAGGGCCCTCTTCCCATTACAGGGGCCCCAGAATTCAAAACTGCAGGCCTGAGTCCTGGGTAGTGGAACATGCCGAGCACCACAGTGCAGGGCCTCAGGCCATCTACTAGTACCAGTAGTATCTACTGGTACTACGCTCCCACTGCTCATGTTGATGGAGGACACAGGCACGGGGCCACTCCTACTGCACCCCCAACATACCCCCAACCATGCCTTCTGTTTGCAGATGGAAGGAATCAGGAAAGGGACATATTCATCCCACCCCACCCCCACTGCCCACCAGGACACCCCAGAAGCACATCCTCCTGGAGAGCCATCAAGGAGAGAGTATACTATCTTCCCTACAACCAGTTCTCTGTGCTCAAAGGTAACTTTCTGTTTCCATTCTGCATGGAAGAGAAGAATCTGCAGTCGCAGGGACATGTATCAGCGACACTTCAAACACTCTTGCAGTCTTCTAGGGAGCCACGCTAGCCTGGGCTGGAGTCTGTGCTCAGACCCCTGGCTTGGCTCACTCTCTTCCTGGCATCTTGATGGCTCCTTTGATGCTCAGTGTCTAGTTCGCATCTGTCCATGGGGCAGACACCCATAGTACCCAGCCCAAGGTAGGCACATAAATGCTTGTTGATGGGATTAATGAATATGGATCTTCTAACTCTTTGGGAATCCCTCCTGGAGCCACATTGCTCATCAGTCACCCACATCCCCATCGGATAACCGAGGAAACTGGGAAGAAGTTTGCCCAGAGTAACAGAGCCAGCAGGGCTTTTCCGATGCCTGGATCACTACTCCCTGCTGGCAGTGCCAGGGAATCTGAACCTGTCTCCATGGGAGGAGACCCCTCCCTGGTCAAGCAGCCTGGCCCACGCCCTCTGCACATCTACGGGGGCTCCCCATCAGTGGCTGGTGTCTAAAGCGCTGGTATTTATTCTGCTGGAACCAAGAACCACCCCTCCAACCCTCTTTGGTGGGGTCACCATCCCAAGCAGCCCCAGTGGCTGTGCCCTCACGTGAGCCCCTCCTTGAAGTTAACGATGGTCATCCCAAAACTTCACGTCAGAGGCCTGACTCTAAGACCCGCCTGGACCCCAGCCTCATGAGCAGTGGCTCTCACAGCGCTCCTGTAAGCCCAGGGGCAAGAGCAGTCCCTTCCTGGCCTGCAGGGGCACCCTCCCGGACCGCAGCGCGGCTGGTGCTCACCTACGCTGCAGCAACAGAACAGCCTGGGAGCTAGGTTGGTTGCCCCAGGCAGAGGCTGAGACTAATTCGAGGTTATCTGCAGGGGGTCAAGGGCTTCAGGGGTCCTCCTGGGCCACAGGCAAGAGGGAAAGGCTGGTGTAGAAAGGGACTAGTCCCCTTCTTCAGAGCCAGGTAGCAGGCAAGGAGGGGTATCACCATTCTGCACTTCTCGGCCTGACCTCACGCACACATTCATTCAACAAATATTTATTAAGCGCCTATTTGTGCAAGGCACTTCCGGAGAGGGCCTCGCCCACCCGCTCTGCCCCAGCTGCGGTGCAGTCGGCTTCAGAAAGGCCGCTCCGGCCCCTGGGAGGTTGGCCCGCACCCCCAGCCCAGCTGCTGGCAGCTCGGTCTCCACTGTGGCCGTGCCCCGTGCCCGCCCTCGCCCCTCCCCATTCGTGCCGGGCGCTAGGCGCAGAGGGCACAGCCGCACTTGGTGGGCTTCTCCACCTCCTCGGC